AAATCAGACAGCCACAATTTGAGAGGTCTGATACACCACTGTTGATTTGAAGATATGGCTGATTTGAAGATGTGTATGAACTTTGACGACGGAAGCTATGTAAGAAAGAATGGGGCCAGCATCTAGTAGCAGAGAACAGGCCTTGGCTGACAGCCAGCAGGACACTTTCCATCTTGGTTCTTTTTCTCCTGATCTCCTCTGGTAATGCTCTTGTGAAAATGGAGCACCTCGAGTAACCACATATGAACCTGCTGGATGAGTTGGCCCCATTTATTATGAGTTGGCCTCATTTATGAGTTATTATGAGTTGGCCTCATAATTTGCCTAAGAAATTATAAAATCTTTATTGGAAGTATAAACAACAAAAAGAAGAAGATAATAAAGAACAAAAGAACATCATAAAGGAAGAACGCAAAAGGCATTAAAAAAAGATAAGGAAGAAACGACAAAAATGGAAGTCATAAAAGACTCTGAAACTTGCTCTTGAACATACAGAAGCTAAATCAAATGCAAGAAATGAGGAAGCAAAAGAGCTGAACAGAAAATTTCCAAGGGCAGCTCGTGAAGACCAACTGTGACAATAAAATGTGCACAGACCTGGAATTAGAAAACCAAAATGGAAGAATACGCTCAGCATTTCTCAAGCTGTAAGAACTGAAGAAAGAGTACACATCTCGACTTGCAATACTGAGGAACTCCATAGGCAAAATATTGAAGGATGCAGAAAGCATCAAAAGAAGATGGAAGGAATATACTGAGTCACCATACCAAAAACAAATGGTCCATTTTCAACTATTTCAAAAGGTAGTATATGATCAAGGAGTGATGGTACTGGAGGAAGAAGTACAAACTGCACTACGGTATTGGTGAAAAGCAAGGATCCAGGAACTGATGAAATACAAATTGAAATCAGCAAACGGAGGCAGCTCTGGAGGTACTCATCTATGATAAGACATATGGAAGACAAATACCTGCCAACTAATTGGAAGAGATCCCTATTTGTGTCCATTCCAAAGAAAGGTGATCCAACAGACTGTGGAAACCACCGAACAATATCATGAATGTCACATGCAAGTAAAGTTTTGCTGAAGGTAACTCAAATACAATTGCAGCAGTGTATCATCAGGGAGCCCCAAGAAATTCAAGCTGGATTCAGAGGAGAACGTGAAATAAGGGATATATCACTGTTGACATCAGACGGATCTCAGCTGAAAGCAGAGAATTCCAGAAAAAAAATTTAGTTGTGCCTTATTGACTATGCAAAGGCTTTCGACTGAGCGGATCATGGCAAACTATGGATAAAATGGAGAAGAATGGGTATTCCGCTCAGGAAGAGCCTGTCCAAAGACCAAGAGGCAGTTGTTAGAACAGAACAAGGGGAATTAAAAATCATGGAAGGTGTGCACCAGGGTTGTATCCATTCACAATAGTTATTCAATCTGTATGCTGAGCACTTAATCTGAGAAGCTGGAACACATGAAGACCCTGGTATCAGGAATGGAGGAAGACTCATTAACAACCTGTAATATACTGATGATACAACCTTGCTTGCTGAAAGCAAAGAGGACTTAAAATACTGATAAAGATTAATGACTACAATCTTCACCAAAGAAGATTCAGTCTGGATTGTACTTCAATGTAAAGAAAACATAAATCCTTACAACTGGAGCAATAAATAACATCACGATAAACAGAAAAAAAGATTGAAGCTGTCAAAGACTTGCTTTGCGTGGATCCACAATCAACACTCATGGAAACAGCAGTCAGAAAATCGAACAACATATTATATTGCATAAGGCAGATATGCTACACAAGACCTCTTTCAAGTGTTAAAGCACGAGTCTGAGGACTAAGGTGCCCCTGATCAAAGCCATGGTATTTCCAATCACCTCACAGTATGTAAGAGTTGAACAGTGAGTAAGGCAGACTTTAGAAGAATCGATGCATTTGAATCATGGTGGTGGACAAGAATACTAAAAGGGCCACTAACAGGCAGAAGAGCCAACAGATCTGTCTTGGAAGAAGTGCAGTCTGAATGCTCCTCAGAAGCCAGGAGGGCGTGAGTTCATCTCTCGTTCTTCAGACTTTGTTATACTTCAGACATGCTATTGAGAAGGATTAATCCCTGGAGAAGGGCATCATACTTAGTAAAAGAGAGACTTGGCAAAAAGGAGGAAGGTCCCAGAGGAAATGGAATGACAGTGGAAGCAGCAATGGGCTCATTTCCTTTCATAACCCATTTCAGAGAAAGACAGTGGCTAAAGAATAGAGTCATGGTGGTGATTGGGCGGCTCACAAGCGTCACATTTCTGCTTAGACCCATTTCTGGAGACAGGATGCCCAATGGGCTGGGTGGTGCAAACAGTCTATGCACTGTGGTACTGGTGGTACTGTGGGTCAGGTGTTGGGTTACAAATTTCAAGGTCAGTGGTTCAAACCCGTGTGGTTCAAGTCCACCAGCTTCTCCAAGGGAAAAAGATGAGCTTGTCTGCACTAGCAAATATGTAGGCTCAGAAACCCCACAGAGGGCCTCGATGAATCAGAACTGACTCGATGGTAATGAGAACGAACCTAACAGCTGAAGCGTCACCCCACACTACAGTAAAAGGATGGCTTCATGATCTGTTTCGGTTTGGAAGAAAGTCATGAAAACCCCATGGGGTAGTTCTACTCTGCCACATATGGGGTCATCATGACTTGGAATGAACTTGACAGTGAGTTGCTTTTTGTTTGCTTTGGACACAATTCACAAATCTAACAGTGGATGGCATGAGTTGGGTGCCATGCAATTATTTCCTGAAGCAATGCTTCATCAGTAACATGGTCTACCGATGCCAAGTTCAATACTGCTCAGTCAGCGTTTCATTACCAAGATGCCAGGTTTTCCTCGTGCATGATGGGCCTCATACCATCTGCCAAAAAAAGTGTTAATTTATTTATTTCAGTACACACACAAAATCATTTAAAAAGGATGATTGGATTTAGGACTCATGCTCCTTGGAGAGCTAGTAATGGTTGGCTGTATCCCTGGATTCCCCTTGTCAATGTGATTATGAATAGACTAATGCAATGATGAGATCATTCCCCATAAGAACAACCACATAAATACACCACTCCGTCACACCTGGCTTCCCTAATCTGAGCAAGAAAGGCTTTGAACCAAATTTAGTTGAAAACAGGGAATTTAATGATTACACACACACACACACAATCGTTTTCCCACAAAAGGAAGAGAAAGATGGTGAAGGTAAAGGGCACAAAAGCAGAGGAGGAAACAAATGGGCTTGGGGAAGAACGGGTACCCATGAAGATAGATGGCTGTATGATTTACAATAAGATCCTGGCACACATGTCTTAGAACTACCCAAGTAATAAATGAGTTCATTTGCCTCTTAAATGCTTCAAGAATGATTTCAGAATGTTCTGACCTTCTCAAGGAACTAGACAGTCCAGTGAGCAGATACTGAAGTACTAACTACTAGGTAGGAGCATGCTGGACTACTAGACACAGGTGGTTTTCTTGTCATAAAGGTTTCTGGTAAACAAAGGAGCTTCTGGAATAATCTAGCAAGGCATCACTCACAACACAGAAAGGAGACACCATCTCTGGTCACCTCCTCCAAAATGGAGATGCTTTCAGTCAAGCACCACGACTTGGAAGTTTTCATGGAGGTGCAGGAATATTGAGACCACATGGAGAGAGAAACAAATTAACTATAAAATGTGAAAAAGTGGCTTCATAAAGACATATTAGGGCAGACTTAGAAAAGAGAAGGTGTAAATGCGACTGAAAAGATGAAGCTTCAATTGTCTAAAGGGAGAGCCCGGAGAGGAATAAGCCAACATTTCCCCTGCAGTGATGATGACAGGAGATAGGTTTCCAATGCAATAGACAGAAGAGATGAGACAATAGAGCCACAAAAAAGACACTCAACACGATGCTATTTACAATGAGGAAAACACTGGACATATTCCAAATATCCCAACACTTGCAGATGATAAATAAATATGGTTCATGTCTATCATGGAATATTATTGTTCAGGTATTAAAAGTAATGTTTCCAAGAAACGGGAGAAATTGTCTCCTCAAAGAATATTAGTAACATGAGAAAATGCAATGAGACATCTGTATAACACAACATCAATGTAGCTCCAATTCTGTAAAATGAAAAATCCTATGTACACACATTGTGCAAACATTCATGTGCATACTCACAGCGCACTTACAAATCACAGAGAAAGAACCCAAATACCACAGTGTCTAGATCTGTGATGTCTGAGTAACGCTTATATTCTTTTCTGCATTTTTTCTCACATATTTTATGCATGGAGCACATATTAGTTTCATAATCAGAACAAAGCTACTAATATCTTAAAACAAGCAGAACATAGATTAACTGACAAGAAACTTTCCCTGGCTGAGGAATGTTAACCATCCACACAGAATTCTGGACTCGGTGATATAAGAACACCTGTAGGATATGCACTGGACTGCTGACGGCAAGATTAACATAACAGTTCAAACCCACCAGGTGCTCTGTGGGAGAAAGATGAGGCTTTCTGCTCCCATAAAGATTTACAATCTCAGAAACCCTATTCGGGGTCACTAGGCACTGGAACCAACTACTTAACAATAACAATGACATAAGTTAATTAGCTAACTTTTTTAGTATAAATTTAAATGACATTATCTTGCTGGAAAAGATATAAAAGTAAGTTTGGTGGGGTTTTTTTTTGTAATAAACATTTTAAGGACTGAGTTGTCATTGCTGTTAAGTGCCTTCGAGTCGTTTCTGACTCACAGTGACCCTGTATAGGGTTTCTGAGAGGCTGGTGAGTTTGAACCACTGACCTTGTGGTTAAAACTGACCTAGTGGTCCAGTGCTTACCCTACAGCACCACACCAGGACTCCAAGAATGGAGACTCCTCTGGAAATGTCTTTATAGGCAATGAGGTCATGACTTTGGTGCAACAGACTGGGTCCAGACTTTTCTCTTACCTTGCAAAGTCCAGGTCGGCCTCCCGTGCCATGGTGATGTTGGTCAGATTCTGCTGAAGAACAAAAATGTTTCTGCACATCTTCTTGATGCCGGACTCACTGATGCGCCTGAAGTACTGGGCGCCGTTGATGAGGATGCAGGAGATGAGGTGTCCCAGGCCTGGCAGCGGTGGGGAGAGCATGGAAGATGGGTGAGTGCCAGCTTTGAACCCTGGGTTGCTCTTTTCTAGTCCCCTACCACTCAAATGGAGTCCTGGTGTGGTGCTGTGGGTTAATGCGACAGACTGCAAAGCCGTTTGAACTACGAGGTTGGTGGTTCAAGTTCACCAGCTGCTCCTCAGAAACCCTATACAGGGTCGCTATGGGTCGGAACCGACTCAATGACACTTAACAACAACAACAACAACCACTCAAATGATCAAGGACAGAGTGGCTCTGAGGGTGGTGCCAGCTGGCCTCATTACCATTTCCGAGTATTTCTACACTGCCAGCAGCTACAAAGCTACAGAGATGTCCGCCGGCAACAAAGCCTGGTTCATCCACAGCTCCAGCACTTCTGTGCACACCTCAGGCCATCTCTTCAAGGGGATGCCAGACTGTCACAAACAGTCACATGTCAGGGATTCCTGCTTCTCTCTACAGATGTGCAGGGAAGCAGAGAAGAACACATGAAACACAATCATCTGGTTCCTCCCACCCAAGAGATGGCGAAGGGGTACATTTTTGATTGGGCACCTAAGTTGTTCTTGTTGTTAAGTGCCATCGAGTCAGTCCCAACTCATAGTGACCTTGTCTAGGGTTTCCAAGAAACGGCTGGTGAGCTTGAACCACCAACACTGTGGTTCAAACGATTTTGCAGTCCAGCGCATTAGCCCACAGTGCCACACCAGGATTGCTAAGTAGGTAAAGATAAATATATTGGAATCTGGGCCAATGAAAATAATGCTAATACATTTGCAAAGTAGGCACTGGAGAGAATGCACTCAGAAACAAAAGGCAAAAGAAAGGCCAATGGTGTGCTGAATTTTGAGTTTCCATGAGACACCGATGGATGTTTCTTAACTAAGAACAAAGAACGAAGTAGAAACTGAATCCTGGTGTGGCATTATAGGATAAGCACGGGACTGCTAACTACAAAGTTGGAGGTTCAAACCCATCAGACGCTCCTTGGAAACCACATACAGGTTCGTTATGCATTGGAACCAACTCAATGGCACTTAACACCAAATGGCTGTCTTAGCTTCTATGAAGGTCAGCCAAGGACACTCAGTACAGGCATATCTTGCTTTATTGTGCATTTAAGATAACTGTGTTTTTAACAAATGGAAGGTTTGTGACAAGGCTGCATCGAGTAAGGCTACTGGTGCCATTTTCTGACAGTGTGTGCTCACTTTGGGTCTCTGGGTCACATTTTGATCATTCTTACATTTCAAACTCTTTTGTCATGCTACTGTACACAGGAGAACATCAACGTAACTTGTACTGAGAAACCAGCGCCCCCTCCAAAATCGCATAACTCGCTTATTACAGTGTTTTATTACAGTGGTCTGGAACCGAACCTGCAATGTCTACAAGGTGCACCTGTACATCAATAAGCTATCAGATCCTGTTCACGCTGTGCTCTGGAGTTGAGGTGAGGAATGCTAATTCGGAACCAATCACATAAGGCCCACTGTGGAGAGTGGTGGATTTGCTTTCCAAGCCATTGGAATGCAGTAACATCTTCTCTCCTTCTTCTTGCCTTACTCTTGAAGAGCTGGGTTCCAGCAGGACATTTTCCTCCACCATCTGAAGCCAGTCTGCCCCATCCCAGCAGTCTACTGTTGTTGCTCTATCCCTCTTCTAGAGTCTGACCCCTTTGTGGTTGGGCTTCACCGTTCAGATCAGAGCTTCAGGGTCAATGGCTTCATCTGCGTTCCAATTCCATTGTCCCTTGGTAGGGACGAAGGTGGGAAAGAGAAGGGAGGCGCTATTGTATTGTCTCTTGCTGCCGCCACTTACACTCAAGTTGCTTCAAGACCACAAACTCACCTACATGTGCAAAGATTTGAAAGTGAAGAGAAAGTCTAAGAAAAAGATACATATACATTGATTCCACTCTGGAAATTCTGTATGTTAAAAATCTCGGTAAGTGAATTCTCTGTAAGACTAATTCTCCTCAACTCCTAACTTTAGGTTAAAAAATGTTTTTGTTTTTGCCTAATAAGATCATCAAATTCAGAGCTGATAATGAGCTCATGTCCTCACAGACAAGCTTGGAACAAATGAATTGAGTCAGGCAGTCTCTGGAGCAATGAAGACAAATAAAAGAATATAATGAATGAATGATCATCAGATGAAAATTAAACAATACAACTTATTACAAGTAACACAAGAAGAGTGGGAATCCTATAGATGAGGCTATAAAAATTGTCCTGTTTTTGGATCCCGTCCCCTAAGAAACACTGGCTTACCTAGGGGATGTGGCGGGAGCAGTCTTCCATGGTACAGGCAATAAGGGGGCATTGTTTGCAGATAATGAAAACACAACAACAAAACCAATTAAAAGCCCGCCTGCCTTTTTATTATCACCATGCCCCAACAAGTCCAAACAATATCAGTGATAAAATAATCCTTCCTGCCACGTGGGGGAAAACTGTAAGGGCTCCCTATTAGAATTCAGCTAAGAGACGGGAAATCTTGAAGCTAGGATGTTTTGGTTAGAATCCATTCTATGCCAGAGGACTGCACCTGGAGTTCAACAAGGTGTTGTCACTCGGAAAGATTAGACACCCAGAGATGATTGGGGAAAATGAGAATGAATGTTGATTAAAAAGGCAGGGAAGAGAGAGGGTCAGAGCAATGACACACTTGGTTCATGAAGGGAACCCCGGGGCATCATGGATGTGCCCACACTCAGATGTACTCAAGAGCTGACTACCAGTGAAGTTTTTAGTCCTTGTAATTGTTACCTAAGGAGCTCTGGCAGTGCTGTTGTTAAAGAGCTCATCAGCTAACTGTACGGTTGGCAGTTCGAACCCATCAGTTGCTCGAGGGTCGGAAGATGTCACAGTCTGCTTCCATAAAGATTTACCTCCTTGGAAATCCTATAGGGCAGTTCTACTCTGTCCCACAGCATTGCTATGAGTCAGAACCAACCCCATACCAGTGGGTGTTTGAATTGTTGCCTTAAGTCTGTTAGGAGCATTCTCCTCGGGAACACATCTCGAATAGTGGGAATAGTTTCTCTCTTTTCTTTCCTCTCTTCTCTCCCTTCCTTCTTTGTATAAAGCCTTAGTTTGCTGTAACAATAACTGTGTCATAAAGCAAGCCGTGGCCACACAACGGCATTTGATTTCCCATCTCCAGGTTGCTACAAACCTTGGGACAATTGTTTGCCCTTTCTCATACTTTCAATGTTGTTGGTTGCTGTTGGGTTGGCTCAGTCTCCAGGTGACCTTATGTTGTTGTTGTTAAGTGCCATCGGTTCTGACTCATAACGACCCTGCACAGGGTTTCCAAGGCTTGTAAATCTTTATGGGAACAGAAAGCCTCATCTTTCTCCTGTGGAACAGCTGGTAGTTTCGAACTGCTGACCTTGAGGATAGCAGCCTGATTCGTAATCACCACGCTATCAGAGTTCCTTATGTAGAGCAGGACAAAACATTGCCTTGTCCCTAGCCATCTTCTTGGGGGCTGTGGCCATTGTGTTAATTCACCTCAGTGAGGAGGCATTTCCTCATTTTTGTTGGGCCTTCTGCTTTATCAAAGGAGCTCTGGTAGCGTAGTGGTTACAAATCGGGCTGCAAACCTCAAGGTCAGCAGTTTGAAACTACCAGCTGTTCTGCGGGAGAAAGATGAGGCTTTCTGCTCCCGTAAAGATGTGCAGCCTCAGAAACCCTGTACATGGTCACTATGAGTCGGAAGCGATTCCACGCTGCTTAACAAGAAGTACTTTACCAAACATGATGTTCTTTTCTAGCAATTGGTCTCGTTTAAATTGTTTCTTAGCTTAGTTGCGTTTTTCTTGGCTTCAATACCACCGTGGTTTAATTCTGCAAGAGAACACAGGTACTTCTGAAGTCTTAACAGGGGTATTATGGGTAGAATTCTGCATGAAAAATGACTTGCCTAGCAACAATTTCTTCAAAAATTTGACACAGTCTCTTATACCCTTTTTGCTTATGGGGTCACTGAAGGCATTTGTGGAAGGAGTTTTCTTACAAATTGCTGTTAACCACTGGCGTCTGTTCTTTGTTGAGCAGAATGCATTCTGTGAGGGAAAATGCCCTGTTCCAGGGGTAAGTAAGCCAGTAAGGGGTCATTCAGGGTTCTCTTCTCAGAGATTGTTTTCCTCTTTAAAAGCTCCCCATGAGTGCATTCATGACTGGTTCCTCACATCCCTCAAATCTCAGGAGTGGTGTGTCAAGGAGGCAGCCAGGCTGCCATTTGTCTTATGTGAATTAAATCTCTACACCAAGCAGAAGCAGATGGCAGCCATTTTGTTGTCTACCTCGTCATACACAGAGGAACTAGGTCTACTCAAAAAGAGAAGGAAAAAAAATTTTTTTTTCCTTCTAAAAGTTCTGAACTTCAGAAGTACAAAACATCAGGAAAACCTGCACTCTTCCTTCCTCCCAGACTCCCGAGGTAGGCTCAGGGACTGACCTTCAAAGATGTACTGGAACTTGTGCTGCTGGAGGCTGGCGCTCATGGCTTCTTCGATGGCACTGATGTCTTTGTTGAGCTTGACCACCAGAGGGTCATAGTCCATACTTTCCACGTTAGCCACAATCGCATAGTTGCCCTCCTTCGTGAGAGGGATGAGATAGTGGAAGCAGTGAACTCTGAAAAGAGAGAGGTGGGAGAGCAGTTAATGGAAAATTGTTCCCATGAAAACAATGACCTTCTTTTGAGGAGAGCTCTCTTCTGTGTTGAATAGGGTCCCTCCCAAAAGAAGTGGTAGAACTAACCCCTAAACTTGGGGATGTAACCCTATTAAAAGATAGGTTTTATTTGCTATGCTAATAGGTTTTAATTTGCTGATCTTCATAGATAATGAGACAGTTATTTGGCTAAGAATCAAGCACTGTGTTGTTAGTGCTGTTGAGTTGGTTCTGACTCATAGCAATCCTTTTTTTCTTTTAAGTTTTTATTGTGAATTTAGTGATAGTTTACATGGGAGAACATCAGCTTTACACTCATCCTATCGTATTTCGTTTCATTACAATGACTACAATCACCTCCATGCATCATCATTCAATAGCATTTGCTTCCATTTCCTCTGTTTTTTTTTTTTTTTTTTTAAATGTACACCAAAACACTCAGGAATACATAATCTTTCAAACAACCAAAGGGTACACCCTGCAAGCCTGCCGCCCAGCTGCCAGCACACAGTCCCTCCTCCATGAGTCTAAAGTCCCCAGCCGGTCCGTCTCTCCACTTCATCATCTCTGCCCCCATCTCTGGCATCGTTGCTTCTCTGAATAGGATCTCACACTCCGCTCTTCTCCCTTCATGGTCCCAGGGTCCTCCACTCCTGGACTTTTTGTTACAAAATGTCTACCTTTTGTCCTGATAACAATGACTCACTGTTGAACCACTAAGTCTTATCCTCATCTCTTTTCACCAGCCCCATCTAGCCAGGCTGAAAACCACTCAGTGGAGATTCTACCTTCCCCTCCACCACCCTCTGAAACTAAACTCCCTCTTGAAAACTTGTAAGCCAGTGATTTTGTGTCTTTATGGCCACTCCATTTTAGGTAGCCAATGTCTCGGTTGCCCTTCCCTGTCAGCCCTGTGTACAGAAGGGGTGGGAATGATCTGTGCTATGAAGATTCATTCCCTCTTTTAAGCTACTACATTCATAAGTATAGGTCAAGTTCATCAAATTGTAGTGGATTACACTTTTTTTTTCCTCTTCTTTCTTCCTCTAGTCAAGTTCTGAGCATCCAGCCATTGAAGCCAGGTCAAATGGGTACCATCTGCAAAAATGGGTCCTATTGTGCATCTTCCCTCACTTCCTATCAGCTGGATGCTTCACTCTGCACTTCAGCCCTCTGTTCCTCTGTTCCTGCCCATGGGCTCAGGAGTCCCCAGGTCTCACCATACTGATGGCCAACCAGGTCTTACTCCAGGTTGACGGGAGTCTATTGAACGTGGTTGGACTCAACCCAAATCTTCATTGCTGCTTTCCCTTCATTTTCCTCTCATCGGTAGACCAATGTGCTCACCAGCAAGATGACATGCTTGTTTGTGTATTCCCTTTGAGTTTCAGTCTTGGAAGAGAGTTTTCCCTGAGGGACTTGATTGCTTGCCTTGATGGCTCCCCAGCAAACAACTTGCTTGTTCTTGTGGTAGTCAATCAGACTGCCATTTTTGTTTTTGATTTTTCCTGCTGGTCTTTCTTTCAAGAAATATCTTCTGTTCCTCTAGTTGCTCCAGGCTGGTCTGCTTGTCTTTTCAAGTGGAAATTTCTCACCTCAGAAAATTCTGGATGGGGCTCAGGATTCCACCTGAGGTCTTATACACTACAAAGGCTCTACAAGAAGCCTCTTTCACTGGACAAGTTCTAGCACCCCTTTTAGGTACTCCAATCAGTTACAGGCTGAAGACGGACTTACGAGCTTTCTATGGTTATGTTTCTGGCTATTTCTTTCTCTCCCCTCTAGTGTCTATTTTATAATAGTAGGCAAGGGAAACCAAGATTAATGACAGTCAAGCATCTTAACATTATTTCCCCTCTTTTACCAATTTAGACTATGCCTCAATCCCTGTATCACGGAGCCCTGTTGTACCAAAGTTGAGCATACATCACTATTTACCTCTGTCCTATTTAGCCCATGTTGTTGTTGTTAAGTGCCATTGAGTCAGTTCTGACCCATAGCGACTCTGTACAGGGTTTCCGAGGGTGTAAATCTTTACAGGAGTAGAAAGCCTCATCTTTCTCCTGCGGAGTGGCTGGTAGTTTCGAACTGCTGACCTTAAGGTTCACAGCCCTATTCGTAACCAAACCCGCCTAAATGTTCTCCTATTCGCCTTGTTCTTCCATTCCCTCCCACTTCTTGTGTATTGATGCCCACCCGCCCCCAACACCCGAACTATCGTGTGTCTGTTCCCTACCTTAAGGAGCTTTGGTAGCGTAGTGGTTATGAGTCAGACTGCTAACCTCAAGGTCAGCTAGTTCGAAACTACCAGCTGTTGCACAGGAGAAAGATGAGGCTTTCTGTTCCTGTAAAGATTTATAGTCTCAGAAACCATGTACAGGGGTCGCTATGAGTTGGAACCGACTCCATGGCACATAACCACCATCATTCCCTACCTTCCCCTCCTCTCCCCCCGCCCCCCTACATCCCCAGTAACCAACAACTTTTTTTTTACTTTTAGTGTGGGTATTTTTTCTTAAGCATTTATAAAAATGGTCTTAATGCAGTATTTCTCCTTTGGCAACTGACTGATTTCACATAGCATAATGTCCTCAAGGTTCATCCATGTTACGTGGTGGCTTACAGCTTTCTTGTTATTCTTCAAGGTAGCATAATATTCCACTGAGTGGATGTACCACAATTTGTTTATCCATTCTTCCACTAATGGGCATTTAGGCTATCTCCATCTTTTCAGAGCAATCCTTTTTAGGGTTTCCAAGGCCCGCATCAGTGTGGAGTCCTGGTGTGGCAGTGCGGGATAATGCACTGGACTGCAAGGTTGGTTTGAACCACAAGGCAGGCAGTTCAAACTCACCAGCTGCTTCTCAGGAACCCTATACAAGGTGGCTATGAGTCGGAAGTGACTTGACGGCACTGAACAAGAAAATAGGGTTTCCAAGGACCATGTCAGTGTTGGGTGTGACTTTTGAGATGTCAGAAAAGCAGATGAGACAGAGAGAAGCAAGACAGCAAATGCCGTGTGGAGGCGGCCAAGGCATGGGGAACAGAAGCTAAAGGAGACAAAGCTCTTGCTCTTCCTCCGGAGCCAAAAGAGGGAGTCTCCCCGAGAGCCAGTGCTCTGAACTTGAACTCCTGGCCTCCTAAACTGTGAGCCACCCCCCTAGGGTATGTTTGCACCAGCTGCATTCGAGAACCCAGATATTTGAAACAGCAGTGACCTTGTAAGTTTTTAAGAACACTTTCCCCTAAAAGCCATCTTGCCACTTGGGAGGACAAGTGAGTGATGTTGAGTAAGTTGGCTCCTGAGGTCTTTGCTTGTTCATTCTGTGTGAGGAGGGTGAGGAATAGACAACTCTGAAATTCCTTTCAATCCTCACAGATATCATTGCAGGGAACACAGGAGGTAGAGTTCACAGAGCTTAAAAGTATAGGTTTTACTATGAGACTACTGGGCTTTGGTTTACTCGTTGTGTGATGTTAGGAACATCACCGGCTCTCCTTAGGCTTCCGTTTCCGAACCCATGAAATGGGGTTGATGCTGACAGCTACGTATCAGGTGTAAACACAGAGCCCGGCACAGAGGAAGCGCACAGGAAGGGTGGGCTTTTATCACCATCACTGCCGTGACTCTATTTCTTAATTATCGACTTAGGACTTGATTCAGACATTATTATTACTGCTTAACTGAACATCTATGAAGTTGTTATAAATTGTACTGCGTCCTAGGGCATGGTTTGTACGTTTAAAAACTTCACAGTCTATGGGGCAGGCCAAGAAAAATCAACCCAGAAAAGGCAGTGTCTTGTTCAGAAGCATGTGTCCCAGGGGCCATTGAAGTTGGTTGTGGGTCACAACAGAGGTGATACTCGAGCTGAGAGTCATGATGCACCAGTGAGCCTGAGGAGGGGTGTGATGGCCGAGCTCAGTTGAGTCAGGCATGGCTCTTAGGTTCTTTTTGGTAGATATGGCTCTGAGGTGGGTGAGGGTGGGCTACTCCTTCATAAACTTTTAATGAAGCTGTAATGGACACATCAGTGCAAACTCTACCTTACAAGCCCTCATTGATGTAGAACCACACCAAACCCATCCATTGGCAGGTCCTCTTCCAACAGCCTGTCCCGTGGGCTCTGTGAAGTCCTACGTCTCACCTTTCAGGTGCTCTGATGGTGCACGGAAGGTTTACAGCCAGTCCACATGAAAACATTCTAGAGGCAGGATTCTGTTACCCTTACAGTTGGCATCACGTAACAGCGGGCTGTTTTATGTTTGTGATGGTTATTAGTAAAGCTGATATCAACAATTCATATAGGTTTTTATGCATGTATGAGTGTTCCGGTCTCTTGGGTATGTGTCTAGAAAGGAGATTGGTGGGTCATAGAGAGAGAAACTACCAGACTGCTGCTCAAAGGACTGTACCATTTTGCTTTCTTATCAGCAAGGTCCAGCTGCTTTTCCTCCTCACAATACTCAGGATTGTTATGTTTTCAATTTTTAAAAAAAGTTATAACGCTTTAGGAGTCCTAGTGTGGCACTGTGAACTGATAATCATACAGTTGGCAGTTCAAACTTACCAGTTGCTCCTCAGAATGGACTCAATGGCATCCAAATATAGATGTTGTTGTTGTTAGGTACCACTGAGTCAGTACCGACCCATAGCGACCTTATGCACAGCAGAACGAAACACTGCCCGATCCTGGGCCAACCTCATTATTGTTGGAGAGACCAGTCGCTGAAGAAGGATATCATGTTTGGTAAGCTCAGAGAAAAAGAGGAAGACCCCCAATGAGATGGATTGGCCGAGTGGCAGCATCAATGGGCTCAAGCGTGGCAACAATTGTGAAGTTGGCCCAGGACCGGGCAGTGTTTCATTCTGCTGTGCATAGGGTTGCTATGAATCGGTACCGACTCAATGGCACCTAACAACAACATTATTTTCTGGTGACTATATATATAAATATATATTCACATTTTGTTTACCCATGGATCGATCTTTAGGTTGTTTCCACCTTTTGTCTATGTGATGTTGTTGTTCAGTGCTGTTGAGTCAATTTCAATCGATAGTGACCCTGTACAAGGTTTCCAAGGAGCAGCTGCTAGGTTTGAACTTCAGACCTTGTGGTTCACAGTTCAGTGCTTATCCTAGAGCGCCACACCAGGAATAGTGTTGCTATGAATATTCAAGTATACAAGGATTTGTTTGAATGTTTGTTTTCAGTGCTTTTGGGGAATGAAAATGCTGGACCACTTGCTAATTTGTTTACCTCTTTGAGGAACCACCACACTACTTCTAACTCTCTTTGCAAAATAGGATGGGACCAAACAAACATTGATGACAAGGCTGAAATGGTCCATACACTCCGTAACCCTCCCACGTCTACATGTCCTGTATGACAAAATAGCATACACTTCATCCGGGGGTCATTTCAGGCCAGCCAACTCCCCAGAGCCCATCAGGATTAACTGGGCACCTAATGTATAGGAGGGCAGAGCTAGGTTGCTCTGAGGCCATGCCAATGAACATGGAACCTTGGTTCCTGTCCCCTAGGAGCTAACAGTGTGTTGTATGGTCAGCCGCTTTGGGGACCGTGAAGACATAGGGGTCTTCTCTGTTGGAGTATTATTATGTCTGTTCTCATAAAGACAGACAGACAGCCTTGGAAACCCTACGGGGCAGTTCTGTTCTGTACTATAGGGGTAACCAGGAACCAGATTTGATTCAACGGCAGTGGGTTTTGCACATCACCATGCTTTGTGCAATTTGTTGCATTCATTTTGTGTTGTCGACTGAATGAACAACACTACAGAGCTTGTTCATTTGTTCAGGAATGACTAAAATGTGTCAGTACTCACTCTCTGAACCCTACAGAGGCCTTCTGCCTGTTTGTCTGCACCAGACTTTAAATGGAACAAGGACAAAATGGAGCAGGTTCATAAGACAGCAAAGGGAATGTGGAAATCATGTTATTTCATGAGGTGAGGAAATTTAATGTAGAAACAATAAACATGTTTCAGCATTCCCCGTAAAAGCCAAGGAAAGATAATTCTGCTCCCCAGCTCTTGCAAAATTCAGTCTTTTTGTTTTGTTTTTCATTCCTAGAATTGCCTTCTTCTGTTTTTAAATGCCACTTCATCTTTCCAAACTAATGTTGAAGGAGATATAGCCAGGTGTGCTTTAGCTCTGTACGGTTTCTTGCTAAGTTAATAAATGATGAGTAAAACATGCTCATCATTATCAAGAATAATATTGCCAAGATGTAAAAAAATAAAATGGACAGCACAGAGATTAAGGATTGCAAAGATCTCCCTCAAATGTGTTGCAAGGATCCCAGTTGGAATTAACCACAATTCCGAATGTACAACGTATCCCACACCCACATGATCAACAGCTCAATTCTGGGAGCTGTGGCTGTAATTAATTTGGTGTTCTCTTCGTTTTTCTGTGCAGTTGGGTTGGAAATGGCATCAGAATGTTACTAGGAGGATTTTTTTTGTGTGTGTGTGTGGTTTTTTTTTTTTAAATTTCAGAATATTCCACTTGTCTATTCATAGAAAGCATCTGCTTTATTTTACCGTTAACTTGTAAGTAAATAATTTTCACAAACCTGAAAATTATTGCCAAATAAATTTACATAGCAGATTGCTGTTGTTGTTGTTAAGTGCCGTAGAGTCAGTTCTGACCCACAGTAGCCCTGTAAAGGGGAGAAAGGGTCTTTATTTCTGAACAGCTTAATGTAGAATAGAACAGGAATAGTGCTGCGCAAAATATATCCCAAATCTGCAAATGCACTGCATTCTCTTGCACAGCACACAGGAGCTCACAGCAAAAAAGCAGCAGCTTGTTGGATAAGACAATGAAGAATGAAAAGAGCTAGCAGCAACCAGAAGAAGGGGCATCAACAAGGCATAGCTAAGGTAAGATTTGCTTGGCCAGATCTGGAAGATACCCACGTTCTAACTGGGTCCACACATATCCCAAAGGCTTACTGATAAACCCAAACCCCCTTGGTTTTTTACATTTAAAACCTACATGTAGTAAAGACCTCAAACAAAAATACGTTTAATAATGCTGCTGTTGTTAGGTGGTGTGTAGTTGCTTCTGACTCAAGAGTGAGCCTGTACACAACAGAATGAAACACTGTCTGGTCCTGCGCCATTCCTGCTATGTTTATAACTTTAATAATACTGAAGAAACTGTGTTACTACACACCTGTTGGAGTCCTGGTGTTGTGTATAGGATAAGCACTAGATTGCTAACCAAAAACTCACCAACTGTTCCTTGGAAACCTCGCAGAGGGTCACTATGAGTCGTAACTGGTTCCACTGCACTGAACAAGACACTTTTTGTCCCTGAAGTTTCTAATTCTGAAGTTTCCAGCTATTTATGAGAGGGCTTCGAAAAGTTTGTGGAAAAAATCTCATTCGGTTTTCATTCCAGTTTCCCCTGAACTTTTTGAAACCTCACTTGTATCTGACCTGCAATAAGCATCTCAAATGGGGAGTGTGGTGGCTCCATACAGTAAGCGCTGGACTGTGAACCAGAAGGACCATGGTTTGAACCTGCCAGCTGCTCCAAGAGGCAAAGATAAGGCTTTCTGCTCCCAGGAAGAGCCATAGTTTTAGAAACCCTATACAGGGTTTATATGAGTTGGAATTGATTTGATGGCACTTAACAACAACAATAAAGCATCTCAAATGAGGTGTCCTAGTGTGGTGTTGTAGGATAAGCGCTTGATTCTAACCACAAGGTTACCTGTTCCTTGGAAATCCTAAACAGGGTCACTATAAGTCAGAATGACTCAAAGGCATCTTAAATTTAATGTCCCCAAAGGAGACTTCTTGATTCCCACCCTGCTTGCACCCTTCCTCTCTGTGTACCCCGCCTCCACCCCTCATCCCAGTTAATGGTCCAAGTGTCCCCACAGTGGCACTGGTCCTCCACCTGGTAGTTTTCCTTGAGTCCTTCTTCTCTTCATTGCCACCATTGTCGCTCAATGCGATCTAGCAACAATCTGTCAGCTCTACCTTCACAGGATATCCAAATCCAACACGTTTCATACCTTTTACATGGTGCTCGGAACTGTCCACATGGTCATCCTGCTTCCAGAAATGTTTCTCTCAACTATCCACTTTCCAGAATGATAACATCAGAGCCACTCTGTGTGTGTGTGTGTATGTGTGTGTGTAGAGGGGTCATTATTTTTACATGTAAATGAATTGATATCTCTTTCCTACTTGCTTAATGCACATATAATAAAAATAAAATTACATGTAGATCTCTAAGACGCTATACCGGGTGGCACTGGGTGACCCGTGGAGTTAGGCTTCACACTGTCTCTTCTATCCCATCCTTCTTCTTCCCACCCACCCAGCTCACCAGCTACGATCTGGGGGAGCTGCTTTCTGTTCCTCCAAACTGCCAAGCTCACTCAAGACTGTTGTGAGCAGTGTTCCTCTCTCTGAAACTCTTTCCCACTAGGTTTTTGTCAAGGTGGTTCCTTCTTATCACTTTGACATACAAGAGGGTTACAAAAAGTTTGTGGAAAAATGGAATGAACAGGTAATGGGATGTTTCAATGAACTTTTTGTAGGACTTTTGTATCTGCTGAATGGATTAATGATGTCTGAAGACTTCTAGCGCTTCCTTGTTACCATTTCTGTCCATACAATACCAGGTTACCGAAGGTGTTTGGAACCTTCTAGACCGCAGGCAGAGGAAGGAACAAGAATTGAAGACTACAGCATCTTTGAGAAACGATTTTCATGAATTATCATTTAACTTAACTTCATCTCTTAGAGTTAAAGTTCTTTGAAGGAAGGGATCCCAGTTCATGGACCTGCATACTGACTAACTAGCAGAAGACCTTAATACCAATGTAAAAGTCACTATAGCTGCGAAGCCCATACTCAGTTGCCAGTCCGATATTCATTACATATCTCATTAACAAAAATCCAAGTTAGGAATTACTATTTCCATTTATAAGACAAGGAAACTGAGGGCTAGGAAAGCTAGTCACTGACTTCAGACCACAAAGCCAGCTGGTGCAGATGTTGAAATCCGGGTCTTTCTGATTTCACTGGCCATGTAAACACTTCATCACCACACTCTCAACAGAACATGTATTTAAGCGTTCAGAGAGACTGAATCACATACACGATAACTTTCCATGTAGAAACAGACAGCGTCAATGATAGGATCCAAAACCACTGGTGATACTCCTTCACAAACAAGCAAGTGATGAATGAGTAACCGTGCCTTTGCCCCGCAAAGCCCAGGGCCTGGCTGTACCACATACCTGACTTCCAAATGTAGGACCAGCAGGCAGCGGTCGGCCATATCCTGGAAAGACTTGGCCAGCTCGTTCAAAGTCTGCATGATCTGCTCCGACACAGGTGGGAGACCCTCGTGACCAGGAGACAACACTGAAGGGAGGGAGGGGACAAAACCAGTCATCTCATTAGCTGCCTACAGATTTTTTATAAAGTGACATGCTATTTAGTTGCTTCTCATGTTGTTTTTATTTGCTTCATGCCGATGTTGGCAGCGTTCTAAGTCCAACATGTGACAAATGACTTATGCATCTCATTAGACACAGAAACTCAGCTGACTGTCTTAAATCAATTCACAGAATGAAAAGAAAGCGAATCTCAGGACTGGATGTAAACTGATTGGGCCAGCCACTTGGCTCACCCTTGTGTCTTTTCTACACCTTCAAGTGACTGCCCATTTCTGGTTGTTGTTTTTACTAAGTGTCATCAAGTTGATCCTAGCTCATAGCGACCCTGTACCTGTTTCCGAGGCTTTAAGTCTTAGCTGGGAGCAGCTCCTCTGTCCTCCCATGGAGCAGCTGGTGGGTTCAAACCTCCAACCTTCTGGTTCACAGCCCAGTGCTTACCATATGGAGCCAGTGGACATTTTAGGGTGTATGCATAAGCAAACGTCTGTGGAGGAGAATTCAGTATCTTCGTTGTTGTTAAGTGCCATCGAGTCGCTTCCGACCCATAGTGACCCTGTATAGGGTTTCTAGGAGTAGCTGGTGAGCTTGAACCACTGACTTTGCAGTTCAAACGACTTTGCAGTCTGACGCATTAACCCACAGCGCCACTCCAGGACTCAGTATCTCTAGAAGGCAATGTACTTAATCTCTGAGGAGTCCTAGTGTGGTGCTATAGGGTAAGCACTGGACTGCTAACTACAAGGTCAGAGGTTCCAACTCACCAGCTGTTGCTAGGAAACCCTATATACTCTAAGTTTAAATCGATTTGACTGCACTTAACAACAACTTCATCTCTGAAAGATCTGACTGACCATCTCACATCAAGTCAGTATCAGTGGTGCAATAACTTCTAACTATCAACCCTGATCTCCCGAACTTTAAAGTCAAGTCATGTCAGCACTTCAAGATTGAAGACAGTCTGGTTTCCTTGAATCTATTCTCTATCATGTCCTGCTGTGGCACTGTGGGTTAATGTGCCAGACTGCAAAGCCGTTTGAACTGCAAGGTTGGTGGTTCAAGCTTACCAATTGCTCCTCAGAAACCCTATACAGGGTCGCTTTGGGTCGGAACCAACTCAACAGCACTAAACAACAACAACAACAACATTCTTCCCTATGCTCAGTGCCCCTCAGCTTTTCAACCACTCTCCATATGACTTGATTGAATCATTTTTTTTTTACAATAATATATAAATTCCTTTTATTCCAGTGGATTTCTTTTTTACTTAAGTTTTTATTGTGAATTATGTGTTAATTTACATGGGTAAACGTGATCTTTCCATTCATCCTATTGTGTTTTGTTTCATTGCAATTCTCACAATCCCCTGCATGCATCATCAAACAACCAAAGGGTACACCCCACACGCCTACCCCCCAGCTGCCAGCATACAACCCCTCTCCCTCCCTGAGTCCAGAGTCCCCAGCCACTCCTTCTGCCCACATCATCGCCTCTGCCTCCATCCAATCATTGTAAGATTCTTTTAATTTATCTGAAAACATTCTGGTTCTTCTGTATCTCCCCTGGAATGGAGACCCAGTACTAAATTCCACAGAGCTGTCGACCTTTATAGAGGGAATCACCCTTCTCCTATTTTAGATGCTCTAGTGCATGCAATGAAGTAGAACATATCCTATGGGCTGACAGTGGAAGCTTGCTGCATTCTGTTTACAAGGCTCATCACAAATACGACTTTCCCCCTACCACCAGACCCAAGTTCCTCTCTAGATATGGGGATAGGTAAGCAGAGTACAGGAATGGGGTTGGCAGTCAGAGAGGAGTTGGTTTTCTGTGGTCCTCAACACCAGAGAGGTGATCCAAGGTTTAACCTTGCTGTCGGAGAATTATAACCTGTGCTAGACTTTTCTCTCTCACGGAAATGTCGCTCAGACACCTGCCCCTACCCATGTGTTATACGGCACTTACATGTGCCCTTTACTTAATCAGTGGATATTTTAAGTGGCAAGTGTGAGCCATAAATAATTCCAATTTTACATAATATAGATAGAAAAAGTTTCATGCAAATCTTGTCATAATGTAAATTTCTCAGAGAACATGCTGTTTGGGAATGTAGAGTTGAGCTATCTTGAGAGTGAAGAATCCAGGTCTCAAACTGAAGAGCTTACTTTATCTGTTACGTAAATTTAGATTTCTGAATATCAGTATTTCTTGGAGTCCCTGTGTGGCGCTGCAGGACAGTACACTGGACCATAGGCCGGTTCAAACCCATAAGTTGCTCCTCGGAAACCCTAGACAGGGTCTCTATGAGTCAGAAACAACTCGATGGCATGTAAAAACAACAACATATCAGCATTTCTTAACTAGAGTCCTATTTTATCCCATGTTAGGGGGTCATATGTGTGGGAGAGTGCTACTAATGTAGCCCAGGTCTACTCAGGAAAATAGGAAAACCTTCGAGAATGTACTACCACAGATGGATCCAATTTTAAGTTTTCCCTCTTATACTATAAAACTATCTTCTAAAAGTCTTTTACTTGTTAATAAGGTATATAATAATAATCCTGAAATTGTTAGTGGAAGAGCATTTTATAGTGAATTGTAAGTTCCTAAACTCATGACAACAGAAACAGAGTGGTCATTCTGGTCAGTTTTAAAATAAACTGACCTCTTCCTGGACAAGCTGATGGAGTCCTGGTGTGGCATTCTAGGTCCTCAGAAACCTGATACAGCTTGTTATAAGTTGGAACCAACTTGATAACACTTTACAGGAACAGCCGAGTTCATAGCTTCTGTTCTGCAACCTGCCTCCAGAGCTTGGCCAGTACTCTGCCCACGTGGGCTTTGAGATGCAACAAAGTTAATTTTTTTTCCTTTTAACAAAAATCACCCTGAATCAGAATCCCAGTCACAGGGCTGTCTTCAAGCCTGAGGGCTTGGACCTTCCAGATGGCTTCCCTGTTCTTCCTGGCTGTATGTAACAACTGATCACTGGCAAATTACAAATGAAAAACTCCAAGCAGGAGTAAGTTACAGGCAAGATAGCTTAATTAAAGCCTGCAATAAGAGAAATCAAAGCAGTTTTGAATAGTCAGGCTGCGAACCTCAAGGTCGGCAGTTTGAAACTACCAGCCCTTCTGCAGGAGAAAGAGGAGGTGTTCTGCTCCCTTAAAGATTTACAGCCTTGGAAACCCTATGCAGGGTCGCTATGAGTCAGAACTGACTTCGTGGCATACCACTACCATCATACATGCCATTTCACTGTCATCTATGGCAAAAGTCTGACACTTTATTAAAGACACAGGAAAAATAACACTCAGAGCTATGCTCCTGAAAGGCTGGTTTGTGAATTCCTGAGGGCTCATTGAAGTTTACAAAGTTTTCTCAACTAGAAGGAATATATTGAGCAAGGAAGTGCTGAGTATGGTAAACAAAGACCACCTCAAGTAATTAACTAGCTCTTAAATGTCAAATGAAAATCTACAAAAAAGCAATGTTGACAGAATCTGCTGGAGAGATTATAGTGAGAACAGGAGATTCCTGGGCATACACACTATTGTATCCAGGCTTTCAGAGGTGACACTGTTGTGTTTCTCGGGGAATGCTCTCATTTCAGCAGAACCAACGTGCACCTAGGGTCTATAAAAACAGAAGGTGTTGGTCACTTGATTAAGACATGCATGTTGAGTTGTTTTCCTAATCCTGGGATGCGTCCCATCAGAACATTCATGATGTCTTTGTCCTTATTTCTACTGCACAAAGGCAGGCACCTGGGAGGCTCCAGGCTGCTTGTGGCAAGGTGACAGGTTCCTATACTAAAGTCTCTATGGGGATGCTGAACCTTAGTCTCTGGGGCAACGCTACTTGCTGGGTGAACCAACAGATATCTTCAATTCCCTTCTCTCCTGCTCACTCGCTTTTCTACAGGTTCTGGGAAGTGACACATTTGCATTACCACTCAAATGAGGTCACTCGTCACAGTCCAGACTCTTAGCAGTCTTCTGTGGCCTCTAGAAATCTAGGGATGAAAGGCGAGAGGGAAAGCAGTTAACCTCTGCCCTTTCTCCCTCCTTTCCCCCTATTTCCTGATCAGACATCTTATCTCTGAGAGGCAACAACTGAGAGGTGCTGACCGACACCAGCAACTGTTGGCCTTCAGATTTCTTGTGAGGGAAATACACACCCGTTTGAGTACACCTCTGTACATTTTTTAAAAGAAATAATTTGCTGCCTTATTAATCCTGATGCTTTCAGCTTCTGAAATGTTAAATTCTAGTATTAGATTAAAATTGTTGCTTCCTCCAGCTCTCATAATCTTTGTTTCCATTAGGACGTCAACTATTCAACTTTAATGTTATACTGGATTTTTTTTTTCCAGTTTTTAAATTCTCATTTATTAATTTTAAATTGCATGTGTGAAACAAAACTTAACAAAATGCATATAATTATTTGGTTTTCTAAAATAGAGACCGTCTTTTCAGGACATTCTTAGGTTCTTTTAGGCATTGAAGCTGAATAGAAAATCCAGAATTATCTGCAGCTGCAAAAATACGATTGCTCTGCCCCCCCAAAAAACTTATATAACTAGAAAAAATAAATTAATATTATTTTAAGCAAGCAGAACATTAGGAAAATCTCTTGAGTGTCTCCTACAAAATTCCAGTCAGAATAAATAGGCATAAAATAAAATGAAATTTTCAGTTACTCAGTCTGGAAAGAATTTTATGATTTCTCATGAACATTTAGGGCTATTACTAAGTTAATTTTCAAATAAACCTTGTATGTATAGAATCAGAACTTGAATGCTGAAATTAAGTCTAGGGTTTAAAAATCACTAGAATGACAACCAAGATAACTGACTTGAAATGCAACTTTGCTATTTATTAGTAGTGTGGTTGTTGTTGTCAGTTAGGTTTGTAGCGTATTTTTATGCAGTGTACACATTCTATGGTTTCCTGCAAACCGCGAACG